TAAGCTCCTTTGCTTGTTCCCGGTGTCTTACCATTGCAGTGCCTCAAGGCTTGACTTCTGGATCTCTCCCCATTTCTCTCTTAGACATCTCATCTAGTTTCATGTTTTCAATATCATCTCTATGCTGATGACTTCCAAAATTATACTTCTCACCTCAACCACTCTCCTGAACTCCAGAATTCTATGGAGCTACTCAATAAGCTACTCAATGGCTCCTTTTATTGACCAATATATATCTCAAATGTAACAAGTCAATGCTCTACTTGAATTGTCCCTCAAACCTGCTGTCTTGCAGTGCTCTTTGACTAATAAATGACGCCTCCATTCTTTAAAATTTAAATCATATTATGCAATGCCTTTACTTAAAAGCCTCCAGTGTTTCTTCACTTTGTTTAGGTTCTCCATGCTCTGTCTGTGTCACTGCCTTGATACTGTCTGTCGTATTCCCTCCTGGTCCACATTGGTCATTTTGCCTCAGGTGGCCTCTATATCTGTTGTTCTCAATTTCTGGGCAGCTCTGCTCCAAATGTCCACATAAGTTTCCCTTTTACTTCTTTCAAGTATCACTTTCTTATTGAGAGCATCCCTGACCACCCCATCTAAAATTGCAACCTGACTCCCCATACCTACGCTCCTAACTCCCTTCTCTACTTTATTATTGGCCTTATGACTTGCCATAAACACACTACATATCTAGTATATTTATTCTGATTACAAAAAAATACATCCTCTACTAGAAGAAATTCTTTTTTGTTCCCTCTTCTACTCCAGCACCTTGAACAGTGACTGGCACAAAATAGGCTCTCAAAAAATGTTAGTTAAATGAATGAAGGTAAGCAGTGAAAATAAAGAGAGCTACTTCTCAGGTAAAAAAAAAAATAAGTAGTAAGTAAATGAAATAATTACTTCATACATGTTAATGTATAATACATGTTCATTATTTAAAAATATTATAGGCTCATGTGTATCTGTTGAAAATAATTTTTAGGTGGGAACTGCAGGAAGGGAAGGAGAAATTCTAGTTAAAAGGGTTGGTAGGGAAGTGCATGGTTTTGCAAGTCAGCCTCAGGCAAGGTAAAGATAGCTCTGGAAACACCCTGGAGTTTGGCCCAGATTATCAGCATCTAGGCCAGTTTAGCAAGTGAGGGCATGAAGGAGGAAAGGATTGGAAGGCAGGTTGGGATCTGTGTGAGTAGTATCATGGAGTCTGTATGGAGTCTTCTGGATGGTTCAAGGTGAGACCTCTAGGCTCACATACTGCTATGTGCTAATGTCCATCTTGAGTACCTCTAGCAGTATTCAGTTTTTTGGGCAAGAGTCAGGGCTTACAGTATTTGTCTATTTCTAGGGCTAGGTGTGCATACCCTAAAGAAAGCAAATCACTGCAAGTCTAAGGAAAGGGATTGTTGTGCATGTTCATATAGTCTTTAATAGAATGATTTGCTATCAAAATATAAATCCTTGCAGTGAGTAACAGCATCCAAGTGTCTCTATTATGCTGCTTTGTGCCTAACACATAGTGATGTTACATGTTTTTTCATAGGTTGGAGTGAAAATCAATTCACAAAACATATTTTAAAGTGAAAATGCAATTTAAAAAAGACACTCTAGTTCTTGAAGTTATAAAGGATATATAATTCTCAAAAGTCTTTGTATCCAGATGTAGCTATTGGATTAGCTGATACAGGCCCAGTCCATGAATAAAATTTCTTTAGAAACCATATCACCTTTGAATTTTATAATACAAAGTAGATTTTCATAGATTGTCCCTAGACTTCACTAACTGACTTCCTTTGTCCCCATTAAACAGTTCCGGGGACAGAGGCACAGAGCCTGTGTTACTTTTACTTTTCTCACCGACAGTGAACACAGTGTGGGGAGGTACAGAGGAAGATACTGCTCTTCATAACCATGTATTATCAAATAATATCTTGCAAATCTTCCCCAGTTTCAGAGAGGATATAGTGGTAACCTCTATAATACTGCCTCAACCTCTTTTTACAATTTGTAATTGGCTTCCCACATGGAGTTTGAGCTTTGTTTGCTACACTGGTACAGATGTGGCCATGAGCTTCTTTTCTGTGAAGTTAATTAAAGGTCTGGGATCTCATTTCTTTCAAAGGATGACCTCAGACTCTGTACACGAGTGTGGAAATATGAACATGGAGGTATGTATGTGTGTATAAATATGTATATATGCCATATATATATATATATGATGAGGAAAAAGAGATAGAAAATGACAAATCCCGAGAGAAAAGAAATGAAGAAGAGAAGGCATTCATTAAGCTCCTACTATGAATTAGACACCCAAGAAGGGAGGTAAAGGGGGAAACAAAGATGGAGGGATGCAATTATCAGATGTTAAAGAATGAACTTGTAAAAATTTCCTTCCTTAAAGGAGAGCATTATAAAACCAGATGCTGGAAGTCCATTAGGGAATGCTTGTCAAATCATTGAGAGAACAGAAGGCTGTGGCACACTGATTTTGGCTTTGTCTCCCCTAGGTGCTAGGTTGCTGTCTTGCCATGAGATGAGTTATCTTTGAAGTTCTGCTGAGCAGTCTAGATAGCGTGACTTAAAAGTGCATGTCCCTAACCAGAGTTCAGTTCCCCAGATACAAATGCTCAGAGAACCAGTCAAGGTCAGAAAAAAACAGCCCAAGACGTTTCCCTTTAAGCCCTAGAGAATGCTGTAGTCTCTATAATTAAAAGGATATTATATTGGAGGTTGCTAGGTATTGGTATCATTTTTTTTTAACTGTGGGTCCTTAAAAAATCTGTAATTGTGTCTTTATGATTCCCCTGATGGTCAGAGGGGGAAGGGTGACCTAGGCCTAGGTAGGTGGGAGGTAGGGTCACAGCCTGCTAAGCTTGGTACATGACAAAGACAGAGGAAACTAATTACCATTTTAGAGCTTTAAGGTAGGTCTTCAAAAACTGGTTAGGAATTCCTGGCCAATTACATTTTGCTCAGACGTCACTTTGGCTTTTTCTACCCCCATTGTCCCAACATCACATTAAATATCCTCAGCATTGTTGGGCTTATAATAGAAGATTCTCTGCCTCCATTTGTATTTTGGTCCAATTCTTCATTATTCTCTCTATCCACACTCCTTAACCATATAACCTTGCAGCGCTCTCCCACTGTGGGCTGGTGACCTGGTCAGTCTCTTGACCTTAGGCTTAGGCATGTGATTTTCTTTGGTCAATAAGATGTGAAAATGTGATGCAAGCTGAGGCTTGAAATGGACTTGCACCTTAGGGCTTGCTTGTCTGCTAGGCGAAGAGTTACAGACAGATGGTACTGCTACATGCCCCAGCCAAGCCCACTCTAGACTTAAATCCTGCAGATGTGTAAGAAATAAATGTTATTTTTGGATGCCACTGAGGTTGTATGGTTGTTTCTTTCACGGCAAAGATACTGATACAAATATCACTTGATCCATGCTCCTCTTGTCTATCAGAGTCATATTTCTAAAAATGGAACTCCAATTATCCTAAAATCACTTTGCTTCAGACACTTCAGTGATTTCCTGTTATGGGCTGAATGCAGGCTCCCCCAAAATTCATATGTTGAAGTCGTAACCCCTAGTACCTCAGAAAGTGACCTTGTTTGGAAATAGGGTCATGTAAAATATAATTAGTTGAGTTAAAATGAGGTTATACTAGAGAAGAGTGGGCCTCTAATCTGGCTGATGTCCTTATAAAAAAGGGACATTTGGAGACAGAGACACTCATAGGGAGAAGGCCATGTGAATATGAAGGGTAGAGAGTAAGATGACATGTCTCCAAGTTAAAGAATACCAAAGATTTTTGGAAAACTGCCAGAAGCTAAGAGAAAGGAATAGAACAGACTCTCCCTCACAGTCCTTCAGAAGGAACTAATCCTGCTGACACCTTGAACTTAGACTTCTACATTTCTCATACAATACATTTGTGTTGGTTAAGACACTCCCCGTTACCTTTAGGACAAAGGTGAAACACTCCTTCACAAGCTATGGACGTCCTTACGTAAACTGGTCTCTCGCTCTATGGATTCATCACTCACTGTAGCCTTACCCCATTCCCTAGCCACACAGAACTAGTTAAAGTGCTTCAATCAATTGCTTCAGAGATTTTTGTTCATCCTCAACTTTGGTTTCAAATGCTCTTCATGCTACCTTCCCACCCTTCATTAGACCCCACATAATTGCCTAATTAACTTCTATTGTATTTCAAGCTTCAGATTGGACATCATCTCTGGAAACTTTCTCTTCATCTTCCCAATCCTAACTAAAGAGGATGCCCTAATGAGTGCTCCCCAAACATCGTATACAGATATTTCTATCACAATCCGTATTACACTGTGGATAATTAATTGTTCCTTTCACATCCTTATCCTCATCAACAGACTTGGTAACGAACCCTAAAGACAAGGTCATATCCCATGTCCTTTTATCCTTAGTATCTAGTATAGTTCTTGCTGCAGAGGGGCTGTGCAGCATGTTTTTGTAAGGAATCTATGAAGGTTCATGTACAAATATCCAAACACATGTGTTTTTGGCATATGGGAGATATATTCTGCTAGTGTGACAACTAGCAGCTGAGTTTACTTAGAAGTGAAAGCACCCAATTAAAGACCAAACATCACTTCCTTATTCTTCTTCATTTCCTTCTCTCTATATAACTACCCTATCTCACATGCTTTTTAATGCTTTTAGATGTAAGTGACTGTGAATTATTACCCACTGTGGGCCTTTCATCTTCAAGACTGACAATCTATGTTCCACATTTCTCAGGAGGGAGAGACTATTATAACTATATTTTTGCTTACCAAGAGAATTGTTAATGGTTATCCTGGAGGAAAAAAAAAATCTATAAATATCCAACCTATAATGAAGCCTTAAGCTTACTTTCTTCCTTCACTAATGAAATTCTTTCCGAGTACATTGGCAGAATTGCAACATAACCATTACACTGTGAAAAGAGACAAAGCCTGTAGTGAATTTTTTCTTTTACCTGTTTAGTCCTCATTTTGGAATCGGATGACAGATTGTTGTAGGTATAATGTGCCTGTGTGACTCCACAGAAGAGAACAGCAACTATTCCTGAAATTCAAAAACATACCAGTCAAAACCAATTTTCTTTCCCATCTAATACAATGGGTAGGGCCACATCAGCTAGAAGAAGAGGTGGACTTGATGTCAGTAGAGTTAAAACTGATAATTATTACCGTAATTGTCAGTTCTTCATAATTAAAAGGATCTTGTATTGGCGTACACCTTTCTACTTGTTTTAAACATGGGTCCTACAGGATTAACCTAAAGAAAAGTATTAAGAAGTACATTCTTCTTGAGGATAAATGATTCTCTGGTCATGAGTTAAGAAAGTTATACTTGGGAAAACATGAACAAAAGACTATGTGGGCAACTCCAGTCTTCTCATAGCTAGTGCCAACTGCTTTTTTTGCATTTTATCCTAAATGCTGGCACACTCACTCAAACATTTGCATTTCACTGGGTATCCTGAGGAACCTGAAGAGGTTCCCATCATACATAATTTAGTATTGAAAACCATGAGTCACAAACTTAAGAGATCTATAAGGGTTTTGTTGCCCCTGCCAATGCCTCTACTTGCCAAGCATGAGAGAAAGGTCCTTTTTGGCCCTGTGCCTCCCTGACAAAGTTGGGTGTTCTATTTTCTGCTGCTGAAGAACTTAGTGAGTACATCCAAGGCACACACTCCTTGAAGGTAAGCTGGTCTGTTCTTGTGTGCTTCCTTCCTACAGTGAGCCTTCAGCTGCTTCTAGGCTGACTGCGGGATTGATTTCTTAAGCTATCAGTATACCTAGCTTTATGTGACATGAAGCCATACATACACTAGATGTTCCCTGGGGATAGAGGAGTAGCAACCATGAGACAAACGTTGTTATTTGTCTCTGGGCTGCTATTCTCTGTTATCAGCCCTGAGTTGGGGTAGGCAATTGGTGGGGATGGCATTATACTTTGGATTAAAGATTCTATTAATTATGGGAAATTGAGCATAGAGGAGGGCTTTGGGAAAAACATAAGATGTAAGTATTCCTCAAGTCAGACCAAGGGGATCGAATTGAATTTTAAACAGCAGAGTCTTTCCAACTAAAAACACTCATAAATTAAATGCTGATGATTCTTAAGAGTATAGAGATATGTGAACTGAATACTGACATCGCAAATGAATCCACAATAAAGAATTTTAAAGAACCAAGCTTTTAATTTTTTTTTTTTTGGTACTTAGACTGTATGTTTCTATTTATATGGTGGTTATTACTTGGATTCACTTTGGATAAAGTATTGCTAAGATATATTTACTTATATAAGTGCATAGACATTTACATGTCTTATATCCTTTTAATTTGCTTCAAAATTTTAGGCAACAGAATGACTAGGAAATTTTGCCAAGAAATATATATGCAGTAAGCATTCTATAGATTTTTGGGTAACTTTTCAGTTTCTTAGCCTTTCTTCAAAAATTCTAAGAAAAGGATGCTTATAAACATTGTGTATTACTCTTCACAAAAATTCTATTAAAAAACAACGAATACCTGGGAAACTTTTAGGGTACTGAAGCATTTTAAGTACTTTGAGGCACTAGGAAGATTGCCATGCATGTTGTTTTGTTATCAAATATTTTTCTTTCCTTATTTAAAAATGTAATTTACCTATCTCTGCTGATTCTGTAGTCCAATGGATATTTTTCTGGGTGAGGTTTAGCTGACCCTCCCACTGATGTGGAAACATTTTGATTGTATATTGATTTGCAGAGTGGTGGTGAATAAAAAGGGTGTAGTGCATAAATGTATTCTGAGAACAAGAAGTGGTAACAAAGAAGTGTTATAAAGGAGAGGGAGAGGATTTAAGTCTGGCTGAACGCCTATGGCGGGCCAAGAACACACCGTTGTTGTTGTTGTTGTTGTTGTTTTACATCATCTTATTTATTGCATTGATTTATTATTTCACAATAGGCTTAGTACTATTAACCAGCTCTTCCTACTGTCTTCCCCTTCTCAGTAATAGCATCTCCATTCTTCTTGCTGCTCAGGCCAAAATTCAGGATCACTCTTTACTTTTCCTCTCTCTGCATTTCAGTGATTTTGTTGTCTTGTCCTTTGAAACTTACCTGAACCCAGCCACTTCTCAACACTGCCTCCCCTAACATCCTTTTCCAAACCACCGTTGTTGTTTTTTGCCTAGATTACAGATTCCTGATTGGTCCCCTTGTCTCCCCTGTTAGGCTCCTGCAATCTAGCTTCCATCCAGCCACAGTGGTTCTTTTAAGACAATTGAGATCATGTGAGATCATGTCAGTTCTCTTCCCTAAACTTTGGAATAGATCCCCATGACTAAAAGGCCCTGTAGGATCTAGTTTGGCCCCCTTCTTCCCTTCCCACAGGTCTCTAAACTCATCTCCTACTATACTCATCCCTTGCAGTACACTCTATCCTTGCTAAGCACATTCCACTGCAGGGCCCTTCAGTTTCTGATTCCTACTATTTGGAAAGCTCTTCAGATATCCACATGGCTCTCTCCTTCCCTTAAGATGTTACACTCTCAGACATGTCTTCTGCATGCATTCTATAAAAATGATCCCTTCCATCATTCTCTATTTGCCTATCTTTCTTTGTTCTTTTTGATATTATTTACTGCCACCTAACATTTTGTAAATTCCTGTGTTTATTTTCTGCCTTCCAGAATGACAAAGGAAAGCTCATTGAGTGCAGGGGGGATTCACTGGTCCCTAACCCTCTGAGCAAAGCCAGGCACATGGTAGGCATTCAGTGAATATTTGCTGAATAAATTAATGCATATTCCTATTCCCATGTAACAAGTAAGAAACAAAAGTAATTTACTTAAGGTCACCTTGAAAGTGGCAGAACTGAGATTTCAAAATTTAACAAACTCCCTGTGCTTTACTGCCTGTACCTGTCCATCTGTGAATGTTTTAAGGTAATCTTAAGCCATCTAAAAAATATCATTTCTGATGTCCCAGAGAAATTGAGATATGATGATGAAGATTATATATCCAAAGAGGCTGGTATCTTGTTTGAGGATATATTCTCTAGTAGCTCCACTAGAGAGCTACTAGTTTCATTTCCTTGCTTCCATTAGAACACTAGAAGGCAATGCCTCTGCTAATAGTTTTTTGTTTTTTTTTTTTTTGAGTTGTGTATACAGATGCGTCACACAAACAAACAAATGAGAAGTGTGCCTATATGACCAGAGGCTTGGTGTTGTAATTAAAGTATAACAACTGAGTTGATCTAACCTTCAGTATTAGCCTACATAATCATAATTCTATACCTTAGTATTAATTAACTCACACAAATTACTGTAATTAGTATGACTTTTACAAGCCAAAACATATTTTGAAAATGTCTCATCTAAATACACCTCTAAATTCTCTGCCATTTAAGTGGATTCAGAGTTGAGGGTTTTCTCTCTTACAAAAGTGCATGTTAGGGCGCCTGGGTGGCCCAGTTTGTTGAGCAACTACCTTCAGCTTGGCTCATGGTCCTGGAGTCCCAGGATTGAGTCCCACATCAGGCTCCCTCTGACCCTCTCCCTTCTCATGCTCTCTCTCTCTCTCTCTCAAATGAATAAACACAATCTTTTTTGGAAAGTGCATTTTAGCTGTCATTGTATTTTTGCATCCCTATGCCTGCCAGCACTAGTTGTCCGACTGTTAGGTGGGGCCCTAGGCAACTCTCTTACATGCCTGGATCTCAGATTCTTGGGTCTACAGGGGGATGGAGGGCACAAAGTGCTCTCTGTGTGAGTCAGCAAACCAGTGTCTCGGCTCCAAACACACCTGCCTGTGCTCTCCCTGAGATCCAGGGGCTGGGGCTCTGCAGACCGCATCTTCCTTCTCCAGAGCCTGCTAAGCTCTGCTGAGATGAGCCCCAGAGGGAAGAGGCTGGGATGTAAGAGGAGGAGAAAAGGCCTTGCTGCCTTCTTGTTTGCCTATTGCTCCCGTCAGCAGCATCTCAGCAGTGGTTCTCCACCATAGCTTACAGTTGGTTCCAGCCTCACGGGCCTTCCTCAGAAAAAGCAATAGCCAGCCAGTGACCTCAGAGGTCTGGGTCAAAGCTCCAGCAGTTCCCTCTTAAGAACTTATAGATTCTCTTCCATTTGGCCTTCCTGACCCAGGGTTCACGCTTGCTTCTGGCAATTACTACCTGTATGGCCTCAGTGCCCCCTTTGTACTTTTTCAACTCTCTACCATCTGTACACCTAATCTCCCACATTAAACTCTGGGCGTAGCCAGCTGGTTTCTCTTTTTCTGACAGAATCCTGACCAGTACTCACTTGTGTGTCCCTTCTCATTCTAAACATTCCGGTTCCTGGAAACCACTGAAGTTTTGTCACCTAGAAGTAAGATTTTCCCCATATCGTCCTGTCATAACTGGACAATGGAGGATGCCAGTGGCAGCTGAGATGCTGTGCCAAGTCCCAGAGGACTGGACTCAGTCTCCTTTCAATTCTACTTATGGTTAAAATTGTCATTTTAAAAAAGTGTGAGTTTGATCCACTAGATTAGAACAAGAGACTTGGGGAGAGGAAATAAGTTAGGCCTAGAACTATTAAAGACGCTTGGGTTATACTTGGACATGTGTCTTCTGACTCCGAATCATATGATCTTTCCAAAATATGAGCACTATCCTATAGTGTGGCTGCCTTGAAGTGTGAGAAATTCCCTATCATTTGAAATTTTGGGGCCAAACCAAATGTTTGAATGATTATCTGCCAGAGCTGCTGTGGGAAAAAATCTCTTTTCATAAAGGGTCTGGATATCCTCCAGTTCCCTGGGTCTATCATTTTCCTATATACTATTTTATTAATTCACTAGGATTAACATCTCAATTTAACCTTTATTTATTTATTTTTTTTTTTTAGGATGAGGAACTAATGCTGGTTCCATATGAAACCTTTAGACATTTGAGTAGAGGTGGCCCAGCTTAACTTTCTCAAAAGGTAAAGACAAAATAAACTCCTGGACCATCAACTATCCTTTTAGGGAGAAAACTCTTGTAAAATAAAATTTTAAAACACATCATTACCATACCTTCTAA